TTACGACCTTAGTACACGGTGAACAGACTCGTCCCTCTTAGTCTGAACGTTGTTTACCGAAAACAGCCGCGTATCACCACGCGCAAGGAACGGCAGTGTGGGTTTCACGATCAAGATGTCTGTCTCTTCGTACCTGGGACTTCTGCGCACAATAAGTTAGTGATAATGATGGCTGTTGACACATCGAACGTAGTAACACCTGGAAGTATGTAACAAATCAAAGTCGAGAAACTGCCTTGAAGAAGTTGTGTGGAACGACGAGCACAATATGTGTATATGTTTCTAAAGACATCACGGAAACTTAAATCTGATAACTAAAAGCGGGAGTAATCAGAACTGTACTAAAAAATAAAACATTAATACATTTAAAAAAAAGATTTTGCAGTATTTAGCTTTGATATTATATGTATATACTTTTGGTACAGTTTAATATGGTGCACCCATGTAAACAGCAAATTGTCGCTGATTTGGATGTTTGTGTACAAGTGAAGTGAGTGATCCGGTCAGGTTACATTCGAGAGTCAAGTGAAACAACAATTACGATCCTAATAATGTTAGAACAAAAGTTGTGAGTTTATTAGTCTGGCTGACAAAAAATAAATGAACAGAACAGAACCAAATAATACAAAAAAAAAACAATGTACTACTTACTACCCAGGATGAGAAAACACGACAAGAACCATTAACAATTATTTGGTTCTGTTATTGTCGTGTTTTCTTATCTTAGGTTAATAATATTGTGCTTCATTTTCTAATTATCTTAGGTTAATAATATTGTGCTTCATTTTCTAATCGTTTATGGTTCTTGTCGTGTTTTCTCATCCTGTTCAATACATTGTTTCTTTGTGTGAAACATGACAATAACAGAACCAAATAATACAAGGAAACAATGCACTGAACAGGATGAGAAAACACGACAGTAACAGAACTATCCAACGATAAGAAAATGAAACAGTGTACTACTAATGTCAGATAACATGATAATTAATAATAAATATTATTTTACGTGAAAAAACCGATAAGAACTGACTCCAGAACCGGAACCTAAGAGTACAAGTTTTCCCGCCAATTTTCACTTATAAAGCCTCTTACTGTGAGTATGAACACCAAACTGTGTTATGATATACTTGGTACAAATACCAAATTATTTATTTACATTCGTTAGAAAACAGTGAAATGTAATATTAATAAGTTCAGTTGAAATCCCCGAAGTTGTTTTATACTAGAAACAGCAGAGAGATAAAATAGAAACGTGAAACGTGCAAGTATAGTCGAACTTGAGTTAATAAAGAAATGTGGAACATTTGTAGTATTGTTGCACTTGAGTTAATAAAGAAATATGGAACATTTGTTGTATTTTTGCACTTGAGTTAATAAAGAAATGTGGAACATTTGTAGTATTGTTGCACTTGAGTTAATAAAGAAATGTGGAACACTTGTTGTATTGTTGCACTTGAGTTAATAAAGAAATGTGGAACATTTGTAGTATTGTTGCACTTGAGTTAATAAAGAAATGTGGAACACTTGTTGTATTGTTGCACTTGAGTTAATAAAGAAATGTGGAACACTTGTTGTATTGTTGCACTTGAGTTAATAAAGAAATATGGAACATTTGTTGTATTGTTGCACTTGAGTTAATAGAAAACAGGGAAGAAGGAACTGTCTGCTGTTTTCATAAATTTGAGGTAGTAAACAGACAGAAAAGGGTTAAGAAAACAAGACAATAATAAAACCAAATATTGTATTATTAATCTTGGATGAGAAAAAAACAAAACAAGATAACCATTTAAAGGTAAGAAATGAAACAGTGTAACGATAACTTGCGGAGATGATGAGAAAATAAGACAATTACATAACCGTTAAACAATAATAAAACGAAACAGAATTTTTACTAATCGGGATGAGAAAACACAATAATCTAGAACATAACCATTCAACAATAACAAAACGAAACTGTATTTTACTAATCGGGATGAGAAAACACAATAATCTAGAACATAACCATTCAACAATAATAAAACGAAACAGAGTTTTACTAATCCGGGATGAGAAAACAAAACTATATAACCGTTCAACAATTTTCAACATAATTTTTACTAATCGGGATGAGAAAACACAATAATCTAGAACACAACCATTCAACAATAACAAACGAAACTGTATTTTACTAATCTGAGATGAGAAAAAACAATAACATAACCATTCAACATAAAACGAAACAGAATTTTACTAATCCGGGATGAGAAAACATAACTATATAACCATTCAACAATAATAAACGAAACAATATTTTACTAATCTGAGATGAGAAAACACGATAATCTGGATGGAACATAACCATTCAAGAATAATAAGACGAAAGAATATTTTATTAATCTGTCGGATGAGCAAACATGATAATATGAAACATAACAATTCAAGAATAGGAAAGGGAAACAGTGTTTTACAAATCTGGAATAAGAAAACACAACAAGAACAAAATCACTCAACAATAAGTGAAAGGAAAAATGTTTTAACTATTGAGGATGGGAAAAATGTTTTAGCTATTGAGGATGAGAAAAAGGAGATGTGTTAACAGAACCTTTAAATAATAATAATAACCCGAACAATATTTTAATAACCGGGGCTTGGTTTGAATTTCGCGTGGGCTATCTGCTCTACCCGTCCCTAATTTAGCAATGAAAGACCCACCGCCAACTCTTGGGCTACTCTTTTACCAACGAACAGTGGGATTGACCGTCACGCTATAATACCTCCACGGCTGAAAGGGCGAGCATGTTCGGTAGGACGAGGAATCGAACTCGCAACCCGCAGATTGCGAGTCGAGCATCCCTAACCACTTGGCCATGCCAGGCCCAAGAACAAAACCATTTAATAGTACGTGATATATCTGTAGGACAATTATAATGACCGTATCCGTCAGTCATGTGTGATATCCCAGGGATATAACACCGAATTACATTTATCCTTGACTATACCCTGCTGTCGTGTCACGTGTGGTAACAGAGTAACACAACTAAATAACATTCTCCGGCCGCAGTTGGACTCGTCACCTAACGACACTCTCTGATTCACGAACGGACAACGCGCAGTTCTGCCAGCAAGAGATGTCTGCGACAATCTACAATGCTAGTGCGTCAGTGGCTTCCCGCTAGAGTAGAATGGCCTTCCACCAGATCAACAGCTGCGTCGTGCTGTCACTCTTCTCCCACCGAGGTCTCCCGATGAGAGCTAGTGCAGTGAGGGATATCTTGTTTCAGCGCTCAAGAAAAAGGACAGCTAATTATCGACCCCCTCATCTTCATTGTGTCGCAGAAATGAAGTAATTCTAAAAGTATTTTAAGGCCACGTAAAACCTGAAAAAAGATTGTATGTTGGTGTAAAAATGTATCGTTGACCGGAAGCAACAAAGTTATAATACGTTAACAACAAAAATACACAAACTCTAATGCAGCGTATACACTACTCAGTTGCTTACAGTGTCAGGAAAACTTATTGTTTCCGTTACTTTCAAGAGGTTCCCCAACGCGAAAAGAGCTTTAATTCAAAAATATAATAAAGATTAGCGTATAGCCCGTCAAAAATAACGTACCCTAATTTCACATTTCATAGCTAACTGAAATAAATAAATTTTACGAAATTCAACTTGACCAACAAAGAGGCAGAAAAATGCAGTCGTCAAACGTCGGTAAATTCTCTGTGAGCCAATCAAAATTAACATCATTCATGAAATGAATTCGTGGCGTATTCATAGAATAATTATTGGTAAAAATCAGTTAGATTAACAACTTCTAATATATCGAAAAGCCAGTACGTTTTGGTAACACTATGTTCTAACAATGGGTTTTTATATCATGTTGCTTATCAACAGAAGTATTACATACCATTGTTGTTAGTCTATGTACTGAAAGTATAAAATGAAATGTATAGACAACAAAACTGGAAAAGTATTTGTTAATTTTTTTCATTTAGAGTTTCCGTTGATTAAAGAGGTTTTTTTTAAATTAAAAACGTTGGAGATATAACAGAAAATAGATTAATTCAGAAACGATTTGATTTTAAAATTGAATCGATATTTTTACTTTCATATTCAATTTTATGCACTTGGCTCTAGGCTAGGTGAGCCCACACTACTTATTTACTTTTAGGCTTAATATATCAATACTCACTACACTTATAAGGTTTCACGGAACCACCCCTCACTAAAATCGTAATGGGCAGACAGTAATCGAACTATTCTA